CCCTGGTCTCTCCATCACCCCAGAACTAAAACAATTTCCGAGGCCAACTCTTCAAACAGGGATTGGACTGGACTGTGGGACATAAAGTGATACTTTTGAAGAATGTGCCTCTTAGACAAGTAGATACAAAAGACCAAAGGGGCGGCTTCTGTCCAGAGGTGAGAGGGGAAGGCAGAGAGAGTTAGGAGCTGGTTAAATGCTCATGGGGAATCAGGGGCGGAGGGGAGGAGAGTGCTGTCGCAGAATGGGGTGAGTGGTTGGGGTCTCATAACAATGTATGTAAAAAAAAATTCTGTATGGGAAACTAACTTGAAATGTAAACTTCATTTAATTACAACATTAAAAAAAAAAGTAAGCAAACAAATTTGCAGGCTGGTGAAGGAAACATAAGCAAAGTTCACGAACGGTACTCAGGTGCTGTGGGAAGTTATGTGAAGGATGCCGTGGCACCACAAGCCAGCCCCACTCCGTTTCGGGAGCAGTGGTGTAAGGAATGGCGTCAAACGCCGGGGAAGAGGAGTGGGTGTGCAGTAGGTGGAATTAAGAAGCAGGTCACTGGAGATGGATGATGCACCGTGACTAAAGTTGAGAGCGCAGACTTGGTTAGCGCAGAGAAGTTTAAGTGCAATTGAAAGGGAGCCCTGGTGACCCAACGGTTAAGTGCTTGGCTGCTCACCAAAAGGTTGGAGGTTCAAGCCCACCAGCGGCTATGCGGGAGAAAAGACCGGACGATCTGTTCCCATAAAGATTGAACCAAAATAAACAAACCCATTGCCATCGGTTTGGTTCCGACTCATAGCAACCCTACTGTACAGAGTAGAACAGCCTCATAGGGTTTCCAAGACTGTAAATCTTTAGGGAAGCAGACTGCCACATCTTTCTCCTGTGGAACAGCTGGTGGGTTCGAATTGCTGACCTTTTGGTTAGCAGGTGAATGCTTTAACCACTGCACCACAAGGTCTTCTTCCGTAAAGATTACAGCTTAGGAAACCCTATGGGGGCAATTCTACTCTGTCACATTGGGTCACTATGAGTGGAAATCAACCAGAAGGCACACAAGAACAAGAAAAAAGGAAGACGAGCGGGATTAAGATGGGAGAGCAGAAACAAAGCAACCAAGACTTTGTATGCCCTGGGAAGTAGTTTGGATTTATTCCGAGGACATATGGATTTTTGTGAGGGAGGAATGGGGTAAATTCTGAAAGATTAAAGCAGGAAAGTGAGGAGTGAAAATTTAGATTTGGGAAGTCATTCTGGCAGTAGTGTGCAAGGTGGATGGGAGTGGGGTGGCGGAGAGATGAGGACCTGAGTCAAGACTGTGGAAGTGTGGACAAAGAGAGGGAAGGAATGAGAGGAGAATCGGCCAATTTACAGGACTTGGTAACTGACCGCATGTTTCGGAGGGAAGGAGCCAGCTGACTCCCTGTTTTCCAGTTTGTACAATTTAGAGAATCAGCCATGCTTTTCCACGAAGTATGGACTATTCAGCAAAATAGGAGGGTTTAACAAACTCTAAGACTTTATATGTATAGTGAGAGACTTTATATGTATAGTAAGAGATTCTTCATGAGATTATAAATTCTTCTATGGATTTTAAATTCCTTGAATCTATGTACCTCATTTCTTAATTATTTTATAATCTGCTTGTCATGGATTGAATTGTGTCCCCCCAAAATGTCTGCCAACTTGGCTAGGCCATGATCCCCAGAATTGTGTGATTGCCCACCGTTTCGTCACCTGATGTGATTTACCTACGTGTTGTAAATCCTACCTCTATGACGTTAATGAGATGGGATTAGCAGCGGTTATGTTAATGAGGCAGGACTCCATCTACAAGACTGGACTGTATCTTGAGTCAATTCTTTTGAGATATAAAAGAGAAACTCATACCACCACGAAAGCAGCCCTGGGAGCAGAGTGCATCCTTTGGACCCGGGGTCCCTGCGCCTGAGAAGCTTCTAGACCAGGGAAGATGGATAACAAGGAATTTGCCCCAGAGCCAACAGAGACAGAAAGCCTTCTGCTGGAGCTGGCACCCTGAATTCGGACTTGTAGACTACTAGACTGTGAGAGAATAAACGTCTGTTTGTTGAAGCCATCCACTTGTGGTATTTCTGTTATAGCAGCGCTAGATGACTCAGACACTGCTTTCAGCTAATTTTGTAGAGATTGGCTAAGTAATGCTTTGACCTAAACTAACCTGATATGTAAAGAGCAAAGATGTATATATACATTGTGTTTTTAAAAAAATTTACTAAAAAAAGACCTCCTGTATATCACTGTGTATTAAAAAAGCATTAAAAAAAAATGCCATCGAGTCAATTCCAACTGAAAGTGACCCTATATGACAGAGTAGAACTGCCACATAGTGTTTTCTAGGCTATAATCTTTACCAGAGCAGATCTGCAAGTCTTTTCTCCTGCATAGAGGCTAGAGGTTCGAACCTTCGACCTTTTGGTGAGCAGCCTAATGCTTAACCACCGAGCCATGAGGGCTCACGAAAATAATATTAGAATACCAATGATACAACTTTTGTAGTTTTCATCTTTACATTCAAAAGAAAGCTATCTGTAGTGTCATGGGAATATGAGAGGTGGGATGACAGTTCTATCTGGAAAAAAATGCATACGTCGAGCCTCCTTCTTTGGATTAATTCAATTAATTTCACTAGCAGGAGTGATCTTTTGGGATCATTAATTCATTCTACAGCTGAGGGCTGTTCTTTAAGTCATGTATTATAGTTATTCAAAGAGTGAGGCTTCGACATGGAGTAAATTTATACGGGACTAACTCTATAGAGAATGTTTTATGATAGCGTTACATCAGTAATGCTCAGTTTACGAAGTAAGTGCTATTTCAGGTTCTTTCAGCCTGAAGAGTTTTTGTTCTGAATCTGTGGTTCAGATGCACAACAAAAGAAAGGAATCTTTATCGATACTTGCTTGGAAATTAGAATGTGATTACTTTAAAACACTATGGATAGTTTTATTACCTTCATCTATTTTTAAACTGCCTTCCTTTGTTAATGGTCTTTATAACCGCGGGCTGTGAGAAGGCAAGCTGGTAGAGAATTCACTTCTGTTGAGAGCGAAGCGAGGCCCTGTGGAAAATGGCAGACCTGATTTTTTGACCTGGTGATCTTTAATCCTTTCTGTGCCTCCCTGAAGCTCTTCATGGGGGCGTTTCCACGGCAACATTTTAGCCTAATTGGACCAACTGGCAGTGTAAGGCTACCGACTCTTTCCTTTTCGGAGGCTGTATGATTTTTGCCAAGGGACGAGCGGATCACTGAGAGCGTGAACAAACTGCACACATGAATGACTTCGTGATATGTTGTTCTTTTATTCCCTGAAACATAGTGGAGGGATATGAGCTCCTGCTAACATATGGCAGGGCCTGAAATCCGTGTAATCTGTGAGACTGAAAACGTAATATTACCTGTTTGCTGGCAGTGCTGTGATTTCGGACACGTTTGGCCCTAGGAACAGGTCAAGGTGAAGAGGTCTTACCCGGCCGTATATGCTCTGGTACGCCTCCGCGATCATCTGCCTTTGCGCATTGCAGCGTTGAGTTAGAATGTCGATCAGCATGTCTTTGTTACAGTCTGGAGAAGTATAATATTTGAAGATTAATATAGTTGCTATTCTGTAGTTAGGAAGAACCCTAAGAATCAAATCAATATGCACACTTTATCCCTGATGGTACTTTATCGCAGAGAGCAATTTTAACTTACTGTTGATGGAGCCTGCCTCTCCTTTCTCTTATTTTAGTGCTATCACTACATATTGCCTCCCTTCCTTTAAAAAGATCCAATAAAAAATCCAGGGGCGCAAAGAAAATGTGGTCTTTCTTCAACCACCTCTCCTATCCCACCAAAAAAGGCGTCCCTGATCTTCCAGCTCATGAGCGTTTAAATGGGCACATCTTGCTCATTTTACAGTTAGAGAGAGATGATTCACAGTGAACACATATTAAGTGAAAAAGGATTGCTCTGGTCCAGAACCTCCAGGGGAAGGAGGGCTAACCGCGAAGGAAGTGATGAGGGCGTAAGACGTCTGTCTGCACCTTTCTGAAGGACAGCATGCGTCTGTCGTGGTTCGCATGGAACATGTTCGCTTGCCCGTAATACAGGCTGCGCTATATGTGTCGTCTGCTTCATGATATACCAGCTCACGGAGCTGACAACCAGTTGTCATTGAGTTGGTTCTGACTCACGTGACCCCATGTGATTCAGAGTAGAATTGTGCCCCACAGGGTTTCCGATGGCTAATTTTTGGGGAGTAGATCACCAGGCCTTTCTTTCCAGGCACCGCTGGGTGGACTCAAATCTCCAAGCTTTTGGTTAGCATCCAGGAGCATTAACTGTCTGCATCACTGAGGGAACACAGAACTAGTTTAGATAAATTTAGCTGTAATTATAGTCAGAGTGAAGGAGACGCTTACTGGAGATAAATGAATTGAAAGCTTAGGCTGTTAAGCAGATCATCCTTTTGGAAATTAAAATCATCCCTGATGGCCCTGGGACAACAGGCAGGCTGTGAGTCAGGTGCTGAAATAGCCAGTTAATGGGGGAAAGAGACTAAGATTTACCTAGAAGACCGTGCCGATTAGAAGCCAAAGGAAGAGCAGGTGGAAGAAACGGCCTGAAAGCTGTGACAGGGGCGGGGAAAGTCATAGAACCAGCTCCAAATACGGAGGTTTCTGGCTTGTGAGAGAAAAGACAGTCTCCACAGGAAAGGCATGGAGCACAATGTGTCCCGGGATAACCCAGTCGAGGCCCTTGCTTAAAGGAACACCAGTAAATTGTTCTACAACTTTTGCACATGGTTAATATAAACAGAAGATTTCTCAATTACTGCCACTGTTTGACTGTCACTACCATCGCGTTGGAGCGCCTGGGTGGTGCAAATACTTAACACGCTCAGCTGCTAACTGACAGATGGGCAGTCCCAGTCCACCGAGAGGCATCTCGGAAAAAAGGACCCGAGGTCTAGTTCCGAAAAATCAGCTACTGAAAACCCTGTGGAGCACAGTTCTGCTCTGCCACACGTGGAGTCACCTTGAATTGGAATGACCCAACGCGGACTGGCTCACTGGAATCATCACATGGGCGTAATTACTATAGTCTTTCCATCGTAGGGAAACCCTGGTGGTGTAGTGGTTAAGAGCTACTGCTGCTAACCAAAAGGTCAGCAGTTCAAATCCACCAGGCGCTCCTTGAAACCTTATCGGGCAGTTCTATTCTGTCCGGTAGGGTTGCTGTGAGTCAGAATTGACTTGACAGCAACAGGTTTGGGTTTTCTGTTTATGTTACATAGTAAGGAATATGAGCTGTTTCTGACATGCAGTGAGGCCTGAAGTCTTTGTAATCTGTGAGACAGAAACAAATAGTACCTGTTCTCTAATCTGTTTTGTTATCTCTGAACCCATATAATTGCCAGATCATCCTAGTGAGGGCTTGGACAGGTAGAACCACTTCTAACCCACAGCCTAAGTCTAAACAAGGAACCAGAAAGGCCGAAATTCGTTTTTTTTGTTTTTTTAATAAACTCGATGCTGTTTAAAAACAATTTGCAATTTCAGTAATAATTGTTTTCTTGACTGTTAGGCAAATTTTACCTCTCTGGCCATCCATATACAACAGAAAATCATCAAAAATGACTATGGTTCATTATGCCAGAATTTTAAACTCAGAAAAAACAATTATCTAGAGTTTCCTGACCTAATGCAATAGGACAGGAAAGAGATAACCATACCATGATTCTAAAGAAGAAATCAAAATTATTATTTGCAGAGGATATTACTATCTATCTAGAAATCCAAGGTAATTAACTAAAAACTTTTAAAAATTATAACAGAGTACAATAGTTTTTATTGATACAGTCCAAACAAAATTAAATCTCACATATAATTATGCAACCATGTGTTAAGAAATGAATAACCCCCTTCCCCCCAAAAAAAACCTATTGCCTTCCAGTCAATTCCTACTCATAGTGACCCCATAGTACTCACAGAACTGCCCCACAGAGTTTCCAAGGTGCAGCTGGTGGATTCGAACTGCCGACCTTTTGGTTAGCAGCCGAGCTCTTAACCACTGAGCCACCAAGGCTCAGCATAAGAAATGGATAGAAAATAATATAATTTGAAATATCAATAAATGTGCAAATATGAATAATTTTAACAAAAAGTTTCTTGTGATGTGCAAAAAGTCTACAAATCTTTAGTGTTTTAGGAAAAAAAAACCTTAAATAATTCAGCAGATATATTTATTGTTAGTGACATAAAGGCAACTCTATCAAGACTAAAAACTCCTGAAATAGCCTAAAACACTGACAAGCAAAAGATTCTGATGGTCAAAATGAATCCATATTCTGATCCAAAAATTCCAACCACAGGAAAATTGAAACTGGAGCAAAGAAAAAAAACAATCATTGAATAGATTGTTCTGATCTAGAGTTTTAAAGCAAAAATTGCACTCACTCCTGAAAAAAAAAAGGTAATCCATAACTTTTTGTTACCCTGCCTCTGTATTTTTCTAGCATTCATTGATATTTTAAAAGGCATGAAAACGTTGCAAACTCCTAAAACAGACTTTAGAGAGCATACTTAAAGATCCTTTAAGGACAATATGAAGAAGAACGGGGGCATCAGGATTGGAGGAAGACTCATTAACAACCCTGCTTATGCAGATGACACAACCTTGCTTGCTGAAAGTGAAGAGGACGTGAAGCACTTACTGATGAAGATCAAAGCCTTTAGTATGGATTACACCCCAACACAAAGAAAACAAAAATCCTCACAACTGGACCAATAAGCAACATCATTGGAAACGGAGAAAAGATTGAAGTTGTCAAGGTCAAGGATTTCATTTTATGCCAAAGTTTCTTTTATGTTGTCAGTATTTGTCTTAGTGCTCGTGAGAAGTCATCTCAAAACAGGTTACAGTTAAAGGAAATACGTTGATGCTTAACAATGCTATGCCCTATCTTATTTAAAGATTAAATCTTTTTTAAAAGAACCCAACGATACTCCAGCTTTCTTCTTTCTATATTCCTTCTCTAAGCTCTAGCTTCATTCACTGAATATCGATTAAATACCAGTACCCCAGAGTCCACTCTCTGGGAGCTCACAGTGCAGACAGCAGGTGAGACAGGAGGACAAGAACAGTGATTGTGAGGTCAGTGACATGCTCGCGCAGAAGCAGGGGACCTAGGATTGGTGTACGCGGTTGAGCCTGGCGTGCTCAAATAAGGTCATTTGGACACAATCTTGAAGAAAGTAGACAAGAGAAGAAAATTGCATTCCAGGCAGGGGGATTATTAAGCCAATTTACAGAGATGTGGGAAAAAGCAGAGTCGTTTGAGAGAATAACAAGAAGTTAGATTTGGCTGCAAGTGGAAGTAGCAAAAGAAAGGCTAGAAAAATAAGGACAAGGTCAAGAAGGCTGCTTTATCTTAGATTAAGGTTTTTGTTTGGGATTTCATTTAACCATTAGCGATGAGGCATTTCAGGATGTAAGGGAAAAACACATCAAGATCAGATTGGCAATTGAGAAAAGCAAATCTCTTCCTCATTATTTTTCTTTTCTATTACTTTCCTTCTCAACCTACTTCTTGCCCAGCTTTACTTTTTATTTTTTAATCTGTGTCTTCACTTTCTTGGACATCAGGTTTTCACACCCGTATTATAGTCTTAAAACAAAGTAAAGCAACAAAAGAAAAAGTAGATGACAATCAAACATGGTAGAAGTTATCAGGCTTACCAAATCCTTGCAGTGCTCCTCCTAGCATTTGGGCATCCATAATGGGATTGAAATTGGGAGCCGGAAAGATGGTTCCTTGCACCTGATGGGAAGAGTCAATGAGAAAGAGATTGGAGTGATTTGTAGCAAAGGGATTCAAAGTTTTTCCAGAAAAATGAAAACTATAGTCTATATACGTAAATTACTGTCAGACATACACACAAGTCTATTGAACAATTGTGTATGTTAATTGTAGAGAACAAATTTGACTGAGTGTGTTTTATCCATTGGCCTCCACTGTGTAGACATCTACTGCTCATCTAGGAAACTGAGGTACCGGAACCAACAGTAGGAAAGTGAAAGAATCAAATTAAAAATATGTGTCTCCTTAATACATGCTAAGCATTTTCAGGAATGGAAGCCTAATTTGTAGAAACTGAAAACTGTTCTGGGGAAATTCCTGCCATTCGCAGGAATTAGAAATGCCACTTGTGATTATAGCTTTTTTGTACCTTAGAGGACCTAACATCATATTAGAAAAATTGGAACTATCTGAATTTGGATTATGGAATTCATCAACATCTAAGTGATATGGGTCGGACAGAGATTTTCAGCTAACACTTGCAGCTGCAGAGGAAAACTAAAACACAGCTGACCTTCCGTTGACACTCTCTCTCTTGCCAATAATAAAACGGCCGAACATTTAAGACAAGCTTTGGATCCACATGGTCCATTATTTCAGACAAACCCAGCCAGGACTAAAAACCACATCATCACACTGACACTGGGCGCAAGAGAACTGTCAACAAAATTTATGAAGAAGAAGGGAAGTTTTCCTCCTGTTTATCGTCCTGTGCCCAGAAATGTTGGACAAACACCACCTTCCCATGGCAGACAGGTTTGCCAAGCCCAGAGAAGAACTCAGAAATTCACTGAGCTTTTCTACGGCTATAACATCCTAGCTGAAGATGAAGCTTTCTAGTAGTGCCTGTTGTCTAACAGAAGAACATGAATTCCTGAGCACAAGACTCAGCCATCAATTCTAGTTAAATAAATATACCTACCAATACCAGCATGCTTGTGAAGAGGTTCTTGGAGATTTAAGAACACTGTTCAGTTGAGGTAAAGCTAAGAATTCAGTTGAGTTTGGGTTATATTTCACGGATACTAATAACCATGAAGATGTTCATTTGAAGTAGACAGAAAACCATGGTGATAATTTTCATCCTTAGGAGTGCAGATATGGTAGAGAATGTACTTCTGAACTACACACATGGACCCTGTCTTATCTTCTAGTGCTGCTATAACAGAAATACCCCAAGTGGATGGCTTTAACAAAGAGAAATTTAGTTCCTCACAGTAAAGTAGGCTAAAAGTCCAAATTCAGGGCGTCAGCTCCAGGGGAAGGCTTTCTCTCTCTCAGCCTTCTCATCAGTGTTCCCCCAGACTAGGAGCTTCTCAGCGCAGGGACCCTGGTCCAAAGGACGCGCTCTGCTCCTGGCACTGCTTGCTTGATGGTATGAGGTCCCCCTGTCTCACTGCTCACTTCTTTTATATCTCAAGAGATTGCCTCAGGACACAATCCAGTCCTGTAGATCAGGTCCTGCCTTACTAACACAACTGCCACCCATCCTCCCTCGTTAACATCATAGACGCAGGTTTACAACATATAGGAAAATCACACAGTACCAGGAATCATGGCCCAGACAAACTGATATACACATTTTTTGGGGGACGTAATTCAAACCATGACAGACCCAAACCAAAAACCAAACCCATTGCTGTCGAGTCGATTTTGACTAAAAGTGGCCCTATAGGACAGAGTAGAACTGCTCCATACTGTTTCCAAGGAGTGGCTGGTGGATTCAAACTGCCGACCTTTTGGTTAGCAGCCATAGCTCTTAACCACTGTGTCACACATGGACAGACATATGTAATTACATTTAGCAATCCGACATTGCTAACTCACATTCATTTACAAATGAATTGCTTATTTGATTCTGAGATCTCAAGTTTATTGGAGATAGATGACCTCAAAGCAAAGTTCTCTTTGAGCCCTTCTCCAGTTGTAGATTAGGAAACAGAACAAATTTTCTGACTCGTTCACTAACGTTTGCTCCTGGTGAGACACTCTGAGGACCATAGACTTTGATTCTTCTTATACGGATTACAATTCTAACGTAAATTCCTAAATTGATTCTCTCCACCTCAAGAATTTTCTTGAAATAGTCATCTGCCTTTAAATGCGAACATTTCTTTTCTGATATTTGTCACTGCCATTTACTAAATCGTTTTGGTCTCTATAGTTCCTTATCAGTTTTTTCTTTGGGAAAATTAAAGCCTCGTTGGGGCAAAGGAAAGAAATGTTTTACTTTCTGGGTTAGGAGACTTGGGTTCTTGTGGGGACAGAACAGCCTTGGTGACCTTCACCAGGCTGACTGCCACAGGCTGGAGCATTTACAGGGCTGTTTTGAGGTTAAAAAGAGAATAATGTATTTGAAAATAATAAGAAATGCTGTTAAATAGTGTAAATTATCCAGGCAATTTTAGACACAGAGAGCAAATATCTACTGCAAAACATTTTGTTATTGGCCAGACTAAGATCCCTAGGGTTTGGACTGAAGCAAGCGCCACAAAATAAAATTATGTGCCTTTATGCAAAACACAGACACACAAAACCAAAAACCAAAAAACTGCTCTGAATGTTAGAGAGAACGAGAGTTAGAAACATCTGCAATGATTTATCAGACACAATTTGCAGGTTGAAGAAGACCATTTTTTTTTCTTCATATTAGTTTATTTACTTACTTTTTAAATCCTTGAGATCACTAGTGGACGATGTATTTTTTACAAGATAATGTAAAAAATGGTTTTCTTTCTTTCATTTTTTTTTACAGTTCTAATCTCCTTGCCATTTAAATTATCTCCTTGCCAATGGGCTTAAATGAATATACTAAAAATGTACTGTAAGTAAATCCAAAAGTAAAAGTTACAAAAACTGCAGATGCTTAGAAATTCACACACACACAAATTTTTTCTAGTAAGCATTTGTCATTCGGGCTTGTTTATGTGGCATATTAAATCATTAGATTAATTTTCTCTAGTTATTATACTTCAATTGCATTTAAGTCAACGACATTATTGCATGCAAAGCACATACTGTTCATTTTACTTATTTTGTCATTGAAATACTTGACTTTGTCTCTTAATGATCATTTTGACTGATCAAACTATCAAGTACCAGTTTTAACTTTCTTTGACCCACCCCCCAATTAAGTAATTGTTTAAAATAATCAGTTGATTGATTAATTGCTCTGTTTCATAAAACATTTTTTTTGGTAACTAGTATATAGCTACAAGGAGCCCTGGTGGTGTAGTGGCTAAAGTGATCGACTGTTGACTGAACGGTTGGCGGTTCGAAACCACCAGCCGCTCCACGGGGGAAAGACGTGGCAGTCTGTTGCCGTAGGGATTTACAGCCTTGGAAACGCTATAGGGTAGCTATGAGTCAGGTCAAATTATCTTGGAATTCTTTTTCCAAAATTTGTGCTCAACCGTATTCTATGCATTTCTTAATACTCAATACCAGTCCCTCTGATGAAGTCAAAGCAAACTGAGCTGTTCTCCCACTAGGAGCCTTGGTGGCACAGTAGTTAAGAGCTCAGCTGCTGACCAAAAGGTTGGCGGTTTAAATTCATCCAGCCACTCTGTGAGAAAAACTTGGCAACCTGCTTCTATAAAGATCACAGCCAAGAAAACCCAATGGGACATTTCTACTCTGTCACATGGGGTCGCTATGAGTTGGAATTGACTTGAAAGCACCTCACAACAATAGTTATTGAGACATATTGCAAGTTAACTCGCTGACAGTAGTTTCACCTTCTGAAAGGGTCAGAAAATTTTGTTTCAGGTGTTTTTCAACGTTGATATCTTTTACATCCATGTTCTTTATATATATATATATATATATACACGTGCCTAGTTTTTTCTTGCCTCAGGATGAATTGAAAACACTGAAGAAATGAACATTTTCAAATGTAGCAGTGAAAAGGAACATATATGTGTATATGGTAAGATTATTTCATTTTTCTTGTTTTGAAAATTGACAGAATTAGAAATAGTCTCACTTGTCTAAGGCAAAGTAGATTCTAATGTCTGTCATTTCAATTTGCATCCTTACCACGAGGCAATCAAAATATAATCTTTGCTCCTAGCCATTTGTGAATTTGAGTTTTGACAAATAATAATTTAAAAAAAATACTTCCTTTTTAAAAGACAAAATAAACGACCATACAAACTTACTATGTAAAAGAGCAAGGGTAATTACAAATTTGAAATTTGGTTGTAAAAATTACCCCCGAGTAAATAATGGATAAATCTCTTTAACAAAATGAAAAGTTGCAAAATTGTTGACATTTGGCTCTGTGCAGGCTGGAAAAATTACATATATTTTGCTTGTAAAGTCGATACAATTATTTTTACTATCTCATACCAATATGTACATCAATAATTGTATGATATTTCATTTATTCATCGCCAGTCAAGGAGCTGGGCGCCATAAAGCCATGTTCCCCAAATCTATCACCCACATTTTAATTATGTTTCCCAGGTTGTTTTGAGTCACACTCACCTTGCCAACCTGAGTATCTCAAGACTTGCAAACTTTCAAATGTTAGCCATGTGAGTGGACAATCTGACTAACTGAATACCTTCTAGAACACAGGTTTTAATGAATAATTCAGCGTCAGGAAGTTCCCTAGTTTTAGCGGAGTTAGGATTATTAGATCTCTAGTTAATTTAGAGGAGCCCTCCTGGTGCGGTGATAAAGCCCTCAGCTGCTAACAGAAAGGTCGGTAGATTAGTTAATTCAGGATTTTTAGAGCCTTAAGAGGAAATTCTATTGAAATCTTGGAATTCCCTTTCCACAGGGCATTTCCCCTGAACCAAGCATTTACTCAGCTCTGACCACTGGTGCTTCGATCTCTACTATCTCAGGCCTGAATCCCCTAAATTCTCCTGAAGGTCTACAGTTCGTAATTTCTTCTGCTTCATATCTGCCAAGAATTGTTCTCAAGCATTTTCAATGGCTTTAAAAAC